GCCAAGAACCTGGACACCCTCCACCAGTAACAAAAGTACTAGGTGTTCTCACCAGAGGCATGAAATTAGAGAACAGAAAGATCATCTCATCCAACATTTCATGTTTTACAAACGAGAAAACTATCATGTTGCAAAGGAAATCAACAGAAAATATCACTTTGACACCAATTCATAGCATTTATTGACATTTCCATTTAAAACGCTAGGAAAGCTGTATAAATTGTAAACATGGAAACCAAATACTTGCATAAATTATTTCAAAAACTCTACAGCACATTAGAAAACAGTGCAGCTACTGAAGGAAACACAAAACTGACAAATAGAAGGGAGGGGCCGATTATTAAATCATATACCCATACTGAGATTTCAGTGCCTGTTTGAGACCAGCAAACCATGATTGTCAAGTTGAAGTTGCAGTATTGATGCCACAGGTGGCCTCAATTTGCTCTGCACATTTCGTACATTAACGCTCATAATATAGGGGTGAGTGTGCAGGAAGAGCCAGAAAAACATGGACCTTGACAAAGGACAGGGAGACAAGTCAGCACCCCAGGGCAGCTCTGCCGAGCAACCTTTCCTGTTAACGCTAGCCCGGGCTCCCTGCGTCCCACAGATGCTCCGGAGGAGGGCAAAGTCGAGGGCGTTCCTACTCCCCTTTTCTGAAACAAGTCCTCTGGTGCTTAGGGCAACTGAATGAATGAGTGGAGCCTCAATTCCTCTAGTATCTCCCTCTTCTTTCCCCACATTTGCAGGAGGAACAGTACAGGGTATGTGACTTGAACTAGGCCCTGTGCTATTCCCAACCTGTACACTTAGGGACTCGAGTTATGAATACTTGAAATCCGGTAAGTACAAGAAAGACTATTCGTGATGCTCCAAGTAGCTCAGAAAGGTTCTGTGTAATCACGGACTGCAAGAGACTCAAGTCACTCAAAATTTCACCTGTCCCTTTTACTATCCACTCTGTTTTTTTTGTTTTGTTTTGTTTTGTTTCAGAGACGGGACCTCACCCTGTAGCCCAGGCTGGAGTGCAGTGGCATGATCATAGCTCACTGCAGCCTCCAACTCATTGGCTCAAGCGATCCTCCCGTCTTAGCCTTTCGAGTAGCTGGGACTACTGGCACATGCCACCACGCCCAGCTAATTTTGAAACTTTTTTTTGTAGAGACGGGGTCTCATTATGTTGCCCAAGCTGGTCTCAAACTCCTGGCCTCAAGCAATCCTCCTACCTCAGCCTCCCAAAGCGTTGAGATTAGAGGCTTGAGCCACCATGCCCAGCCTATTCACTCTTTAGAAATGTGAAGTGACCCCTGAAAAACCTGGAGGAAGAAGGAAAAGTAAGGATCCTGGATAATTACCCTGTGGGAAGCCATTTTAACTATACTGCATTAAGACATTCATTGCTTCTGTCACTTTCTTACTGGCTCCTAACTTCGTTTCATGTTTCCAAAGGCATTTAATATTCTTTTCCTAAATTTCAATGCTGCTGTGTTTTAAGATAAATTATCAAGTCTACTGTCACACACACAAGCCATGGACTTAGCAATGTGCCATGATGTTGCAATTTTCAAGTCATCTTCAGAGTGGAGAAAGTAGTCCTATTTAAACACTGACAATCACCTCCAAGAATATCAAAAGAAACCTGAAATGCACACACTCCTTGTTCATTAGGTAACAAGTGTTAAGTCTATCATATTTTATGTTACAGCAGCTGCTCATAGAAACCCTGTTAGAACGTGTTAACATGTTAGATTCAATGTAAAAATGAAGTTCAGTTGACTATGCCATAGAAATGTGTTTTGTGTTCACATGCTCTGTCTGCTGCTACAGAAGTGGACTTCCTCCTGCTCCTGTCCAGGGCAAATGTGGATAAGCAGGCTCTAGTACTGGCGTTGGAACCTTGCTCCGCAGGTAGAAATGACCACGGTGAAAACTCCACTTGAGCTAAAGTTAGCGTGGGAGTTAAAACTGGAGTCCTCCTACCCCTGTGCCCAAAACCTTAACCAGCTTTCCTTCCAAACGACAAATTCATTCACGTCTGAGAATCTCGTGTGAAAAGGGTGAGAGAGACTTACATAATGACTAATTTGTGAATTACTGCCAATGCACTGCAAATCAGTGTCCAAATGACTGGTTTGGTCACTGGAGCACTTACAAAGAGGTTGTGCAAATGAAGGAACTTACCCTGTCCACGGGAAATGAGAGACTCCTACAGCACAGAACTAACTGCTTGCTGGTTTGAGCCCAAAGCCTTTAGCGCCTACCTTCACCTGTGCTTTGCCTCACAGTCCGCATGCCGGGAAAGATCTGGCCGGCAAACACCCACTGCTTAAAAGTCATCTGCCACCCAAATCAAAACACTATGAAATTAATAAAATTTGGAGAAAATTGTGTAGGTAGCAGTAAAGAAGCTGAATATATATATAGAGATAACCCACTATGCTCCACAAAGGATGTGGCATGGCCAAATGGCTGCTGAGATCTGCTCTAAACAATGACCTCAGTGTCATTCTCATCATTTTCGTCCTCTTCCCTTGCCCCACCAACACTGGAGCAGCACTTCCTCTGTAGATCTTCACAGCCCTGGACATTTCCTTGCTGTATGACTGCAGAAGCATCCTCCCAGCACCTCTTCCTTCTCTTCTAAAACTCTCTCAATAGTGCAGACGGGGATTCTGTCCCCATACTAAAGTGGATCAAGTTCATTTTCAGTGACAGCTTCACTCCATGCCTGCAGCCTTTCCCAGGCCCACTCTCAGCTCTTCCTTCCACGCCATTTGCCTGGGTAGCTGCCCTGCCTTCAAAGTCACTTCAGAAGTTGACGTCTCCCCAAGATACTGCATTTCCAAACACGCAACCTCCACAGCTTCTTCTGGGTGCCTAACGCATTTATGTATTTTGAATGAATTTTTTTCTTTTTGAGACACAGTCTTGCTCTGTTGCCCCGGTTGGAGTACAGTGGTGCAATCTCAGCTCACTGCAACCTCTGTCCCCCGGGTTCAAGCAATTCTCATGCCTCAGCTGGGACTACAGGCATGCGCCACCACACCCGGCTAATTTTTGTATTTTTTTGTAGAGACGGGGTTTTGCCATGTTGTCCAGGCTGGTTTTAAACTCCTGATCTCAAGTGATCCACCTGCCTTGGCCTCCCAAAGTGCTGGGATTACAGGCGTGAGCCACCACACCTGACCTCTTTGAATGAATTTTATTGATGCTTAAACCATGTTATTTATCTGTATCTTCCATCTTCTACACCCACTCGTACTATCTTAGATTCTAAAATCTCAGAAGGCAAGGCTCATGTCTGCTGGCTTATTTGGTGCCAGAGACACCAGAAAGTCGGGAGCAGAAAGATGCTTAATAAATGCAATTTGAAAATTGGTGAAGGAAGTGAATTTAAAGCAAAATGGGAGTGAGGAAAATGAGTCACACCGAGCTTTCAGTTTTGCTCGTTACCCATGTGTGAACCCACGCACGGCAGGAGTGCAGCGCTTCACATCGCTCATCCCAGGGCGTCCACACAGACGCATGTTACATTTTCACAGTGCTTTATGCGCTCTCCTCACGGGACATCTGTACACATGATCACATTTGGTTCTCACAACTAGGGAGCCTGGGAGGAGGCGGGGGAGGTCTGTTCTTGTTTGGCTGATGGGAAGAATGAAGTTCAGAGAACGAACCAGACACAGTCAGTGAGTGACAAAGTAGACTCTGGAAAAAAAAGAAAATCATTTCTCCAAACATTATGACTCAAATTTACAGTTTGTGTTACCACTAGAACTTTTAAAATAGGAAAAAATAGACATAAAATTCAACTGTTCATTGTAGAGTGCTTCCATAAGTGGACTCCAAAGCCACACACTGTCAACACGAGGACCCTTCTTTTCAGTGGATGACATGAACTGAATGTCTGAAGACCGCTAGGGTATGGTGCTGCCCACACAGCCAGTTTGTTCTGAGTTTGGTGACTGGTAAAACTGTTGTGGCAGGCGTCGAGAGGAAGCAAATACAAACTGCATGTGCTTTATGACCACCAACAGAGTGCTGGTGATCCGGGGGTCTGCTCACACCACACCACAACCACTGGCTGTTTATTATACATCATCTTTGGTCTTGACATCTGTTTAAAAGTGTATTGTTTCTAAGAATACAAATACAGTTACAATCCCTTTATGGTAGTTAGAAAGACATCAAAATTGCTTTTATAGTCAGCCCAATTTGAAACAGAGCCCTCTTTCTGCAACGCTCAAAGGAGGTCACCATTTTTAGTACACTCTGTGTGCAAGCCCGTATGGCCCCGAGCAGAACTGGGAGAGAAGGGGCCATTTATCCCATTTGCTGTCACACGATTTGAATTCATTACAAGGTGTCCATAATAAAATTCTGCCTGCATCTCTGAAATTCTTAATAAGATATTCAGGAAACCTGGTATTTTTGAGTGACATACAAAGAGAATCGTTCAGTTTGGGGACAGTCGGGTATTAAATCAAGACCAAGAAAAATTTTGTATTAAACCAAAACCAAGTCATCAAGCCCAGAAGGGGGCATTCTCTCCAATGCTCCTTGGAACCTCCGAGGATCGCCTGATAAGATGCTGCTGGTTCTTTATTTAACGTCCTTGAGAGATTTACTCTCCTGCACTCTTTCGCTTTCCGAGGTGTCCAGATGAAAACTGGCTACATCCTAACTTCCCAGAACCAACTTTCCTCATACTGTAAGACTCTCAATCTGTACAACAGGCTTCATTAATGAAGGGCTGAAACATGGTTTTGAAATCCAGTGATTACACTCTGGAAACCCGTTTTAGCTGTTTCAGGGGTCTTAAAACTTGACACAGATACACAGGTTTTGATTAGTCAGAGCCCCAAATTTTAGCCCCTTATCTGTTATTTAATGAAAAATACAGTCATGCACACATCAGGATGTTTTGGTCAATGACGGTCTACATATTGATGGCAGTCCCATAAGATTATAAAATTGTATTTTTACCATACCTTTTCTATGTTTAGATATGTTGAGATACACAAATACTTACCATTGTGCTCAGTACAGTAACAGGCTGTACAGGCTTATAGCCTAGGAGCAATGGGCCATGCCACACAGCCTAGGTGTGCAGTAGGCTATACCATGTAGGTTGTGTAAGTACATTCTAGGATGTTAGCACAGCAACAAAACAGCCTAATGACACATTTCTCAGAACGCGTCCCCATCATTAAGCGATGCATGACTGTCTTCGTTGATCTAATAAAAACAGGTTCATAGTGAAAATCTCTTAGCTAAGCCTGCTTTTCTTCTGAGTTTCACTCAGGTACCAGAAAACAGAATGGCCCTTGCCACTGTTTTCTTTGCCATTATTTGGAAAGTGGGGGAAATGTTTACATCGGGAGTAAATCTTAAGCGAGATGATCCTCTCTTAGGCCCAAAGAGCATGAGACAATTTTAAGAGCCACTCGACAGAATAAGAGCACAATAAAATCAGAAATGAGACGCAACTCTCTCCTTTCCCTTGTGGTCTCAAAGCTCTTTTACATTTCTTGATTCATTACACAGAGGCTGAACTGAACTCAATTTCATTTCCAGGCTCTGAACACAGGGAATGTGACTGGTAGGGATGTATGTGTAACAATGTGGTGGTGCTGGGAATTCTTAAATAACTTTTGCTTACGGAAGATTTCTCATTCAAACATAATCTGTGAACAAATCAACAGCAAAGTGGAAGAAAGGATCAGTGAGGACCTCTTGAAAGCCTCATTCTACAGGATTGGCCTGAGCGATGGGTGCTGACCTGGGACGTGACCAGGAGTTGTATATGCCCAATTAAGAAACAGCAAATACAATGAAGAACGTAGATCTCAACTTTGATCTGTATTTTGGATAACCAAATAAATATAAAGCTTTTTGCCCCGCTTTGGGAGGGATTTTTTTTTTTTCTAGAACAAAATGAAACCTTCAACATATTCTTCCACTGAAAAAGCCAAAGTTGCGTTTCAGACATGAAGGTGAAGGGCCCTTGGAGCTTAGCACCAGAATAAGGAGGAAGAATGTGGGTGATGGCTTCGTTTGGAGTCATCAGGCTCTACAACCTATCATTTGGTTTCTCACTAGTAGCTTTTTAAAATTCCCAAACAGTCTTAGTATTCTTGTTGTTAATGTTACTATTAAAATAAGTTCCTATGGAGTAAAAGAGAAAAATCAAGCCGTTAATAAAATGTCTTCAAACCTCTTTTCAGAAAACAAAGCAGCAGGTTCATCGTACACGTACCAGTCTCAATGCCACAGGAACGCTTGGTTCCTTTCATCCCTATGCTGTCTATAAGTTCAATCTCTGCCTTTAAAAAAGAGACGAATGCAGTCGTTTTGTTAGCTTAGGTTTGTGTTTTGTTTTTGTGAAGTGCTGCTGGCTTTTGGCCAAAATACGTACATTTCAACCGAACCCAAGTGGTCAACTGCCAGCCCAGTGAAAGGCTCGTGAGCTGTCATGTGACATATGGCATCTTCTAAATTGCAACTTGCTCCCTCCCTTAGGCAGGCTGCCCAGGAGTTGCTCCTTCCTCTTCCAAACACCCACTCAGTTGATTTCCTTTTGGTCTTGCTTCCACGGGAAGCGGATACTTGGCAAATCTGCGAGGCGAGGCCGATCAGCTATGGAAGTTCTGCACGGTGCTCTGTTTCTGGGAGAGCCGGAGGAGCTCCTCGCGGATCGCTTTGATGAGAGAGGCTGAGGAGTGGCCGGGCTGGAGGTCTTCCGTGGAGCTGGTGGGGTAACCCAGCCCAGGGCCCTGCAGCCCCCGGTGGGGGAGGTTCCCGGGAGGAGCTGAGGGCTCCCTGCTTGAAGTCCTTGGCACCTGAAACAGCGGTGAAGAAGAATACTCTTGATGTCCGAGCATGTGTGTCTGAAAAACATGGCAAACGTCACTGTACTTCCTACGGAAGAATAAGCCGAGACGTCAAGTGCAAACTGGCTTTAGGAAGGTTCCCAGGACCGCCCACGTCCATCCACCAACTCAGCCCTCCAACAGGGCCCTGCTGCCTATGCCGCAGGTGAGGGGTGAAGACACCAGGGGCTGGGGAGAACAGGAAGGGAGGGAGGCTACAGTGCCCCATGAGGTGAAAGGTCGGGTGATATCTGAGAGCTGAAGGAGGTAAGCGGATCCACGCAAGGCTGACAAGGGGAACAGCTGCCTCTGTCCTGGACTGGAGCCCACGCAACCATCTTCCACTTTATCTAGCTGCTGTCTCCTGTCTCTGTGTGTGTGCCTACTGTGGGCTCTGTAGAGCCTTGTCTTTAAAAACTTATCTGCACTAAAGCATAAAATAGTTTTGCTGATATTTGCAGCATAAAGATTTGGCATTAGTTTCACAAGAATTATTACACTTTTCAGATTTTTTTTCATGTTTTTCCCCCCCAGTGGAAAAAAATGTCTCTTTGCATTTATATGTAAGAGTATTTAAATCTGCATACGAAAAAACACGCTAGGATCAAGTTATTTGTGAGCCAAACGTGGCATTCCAGCTCTAGGTTCTTTCTACGTTTCACTTCTCCAAATAGTGACCGAGCAGTGCTCCAAAGTGGATGTGACGGGAAAACCTTAACACCCCATGCCAGGCACGGTGGCTCACACCTGTAACCCCAATCCTTTGAGAGACCAAGGAGAGAGGATTGCTTGAGGCCAGCAGTTCAAGATCAGCCTGGTCAACATAGTGAGACCTTGTCTGCATTTTTTCAAAAAAACAAAACACCAAAACCAACCCCAAACACCTCATGAAGCTAAGCTGGGCAAAATGAAGGCAAAAAAAGAGAAATGGCAGCAAACTTAAAGCAGATAGCTGAGACTCTAAGTATAACAATGTCTCCTTTAGGGAAACGCCTTATTCTGAAGTTAATGTCCTTTCACTGAGTCAGGGCGTCCAGCCATGAAAGGAATTGAGTGTGTGTGTTGGGAAGGCACAGAAATGCAGCGGACGCTGTAGCGTAATGATCAAGAGAAAACAAAAAGTAATATTCTGGGTGGTATTTTCAAACTTCATTAATTTATCCCCCCAGGATATACAGTTCTTGAGAAAAGCAAATGAAAGCACTTGTAGGAATTACCGATGCTCATATTGAGTGAGTGAGTGAACAGAAGTCTCAAAAAGAAAACCTGTGCCTTAAAATATCCCCAGCTGTGTGCTTATTACAAAATTACCTACGCATGGTCATAATACGAATGACGTTAATAAACCCACAGTGAAACACAAATGCTGCGGAAGAGCATGAATATTTATACAGCAATCTCACCAAACATCAACTCCAGAGTTGTCACCCATAGATTCAAATTTACTACTAAGCTTGAACTCTGCCTAGAGAAAAATTATACACTTCCTAAAAGCTAGATGCTAAAAACTATAAGCCAAAACACAAGCAAGGCGGGAAAACGTGAGAGAGGTTAAAACTTTTTTAAATGTAGGTTTTAAAAAGGGACCCCAAAGCAGAAGCTGTTAAATTGAGGGAATTTTTTTTTTTTTTTTTTGAGACAGAGTGTCACTCTGTCACCCAGGTGCGATCCCGGCTCACTGCAACCTCCACCTCCCGGGTTCAAGTAATTCTCTTGCCTCAGCCTCCCAAGTAGCTGGGACTACAGAGCCCACACCACCACACCCGGCTAATTTTTTGTGTGTGTATTTTTAGTAGCGATGGGGTTTCACTATGTTGGCCAGGCTGGTCTCAAACTCCTGATCTGCCTTAGCCTCTCAAAGTGCTGGGATTACAGGCATGAGACCCCGTGCCTGGCCTATGTGTAAATTTTAAATGATGACCTGAACAGGAGATACTCACGGCCTCTCTTCGCCCTGCTTCATCCTCCCCGTACGAAGGCCAGCCTGGCCCCCCGTACTGGCTGCCTCTGCTTGGGGGGATTTCCACTGGCTGAGCTCCGATTCTGCTGGCAAGCCCCACCTGTGTCAGGTGCTGGATCTGGGAGCCTGGAAGGAACACGGTGGAGTGGCCTGGTCAACATTTATAGGAGAGTATGGCTGCCGAGGAAGGCACTGTCAGCTCTGATCACTACACTCCTTAAGGACAAGGGATCAGGACTTGGTACCAGTTCTGTCTCCAGAAATCTCACCTCAACTGCCATACTATCAGCATTTCCTGAGGGTCCCATAGGTAGGAAAATGTACCACGAAGCACCATGGACCAAGCAATAAAAATAAACAAATAAAAGAAGAAAATCCCATTGCAAAAAAGTCTGAAACAGAATTCTTGACTCCCTGACATTCATCCCTAAGCCTAAGCCTGTCCCCCATTTCGCCCTCCCCATTTCCACCCAGGGCCGTGCAGCCCTACTTGTTCAGATCTAAAAACCTATACTCTATGCCCAACTCCTCTTTCCTGCGCACCTCCTACCAGCCCATCAGGAAGCCCGCGGGCTCCTCTCCTGAAGCACTGCATGAGGATGACCCTTCCTCCCTGTGACGGAACCACTACCCCGCCCCTGATGCAACTGTTTCCCCACGGGTTCCCCACGTCTAGTCATGGTATATTCCCTCCAAAACACCCTGTCAGAAGACACTGTCAGCTCTGACCACTGCACTCCTTAAGGACAAGGGATCATGACTTGGAACCAGTTCTAGCTCCAGAATGGCATTTCCTAAGAGCAACAGACCATGAGCTTCTTGGTTCCTGGACTCTGATTTTCTTTTACTTCAGAGGCTGACAGAAATGCCCTTATTTTCGTGGCTAGACATTAGCACTGGGGATAAACGGTACCAAGAAGGCACTTCCATCCATCTCTGCAGCAGTTACCAACGAGGAACAGCTCATTTACTAAGAAAGGCGTGAAAGGTTTGGGAGCCACCATGAAGCTGAAGCCTGGCTCTTTCTTGCTTGTGGCTTCGAGATTCACAAGGAGCTGGATATACAATACGCTTATTTTTTTTCCTTAAAAGGCAGGATATGTATCTATTTAAATCCAGCATATTAAAGTATATATTCATTATAACCCATACTGTGTCTGTAATGTAGCCACAATACAATTAAAACCACTCCCCCAGCCTCACTGGTGGGGTGAGCTGATGGCAGAGCCAGAGGACTCTCTAGAGCTAATTACCCTCCTACACCCAGACATCCGCAGCCTCCTGTTGCCATGGAAGCCAGGTAATACACAATATTTTTCTCCCGCATCAACTTCTGTCATATGGAAATACACCTATACTGCAAATTAAGGGAGAAAAGTGATCCTTAAGCACTATGAAATAAAATACTTATTTCCAAATTTGGAAATTTCTTCAAATTCACCAGTGATGCTCAGACTGGAACCACAAAGGCTCCAAGCACCCACAGCTAAAAGAGGCACCTCCTCCATCTTTAAGTCTATTCCTACTCTAGATCTTTAATTAACAACCTCAATTCTCTCAATTCTTTCTTTTAAGAGATGGGGTCTCACTACATTGGCCAGGCTGGTCTTGAACTCTTTCTAGCCTCAAGTGATCCTCCCACTTTGGCCTCCCAACATGATGGGATTATAGCTCTGAGCTATAATTGTTGGTACCTGACCAACAACCTCAATTAATTAATCACATTGAAAAAAAAAAAAAAAAGAACTCCTCAATGGTTTTATTTGGATATTTAATGATAACTAAAAGTCAGGAAAAGCTGTCCTGGCTCTGGGCAGAGCAATGCACTCTACTGGACCACCGGGTCAGTTACTGAAAAATCCTAACGGTATTAAAATGATCAGGACTGCCAGCATTCTTTGCCCAACAGACGTTGTTTGAGCAAATCTTGCAAAATGCTATAAGAGCAGTGCAGTGTTCCCCATTTCCAAAGGCTCAAGCAACTGCACAGGGAGAGAAGTACACCTTCTGTGTAAAGCCACTCCAGTAGCTGAAACCATCATTCGGTAGGATTTTATATCCTGTGTTGTTCACTTAACAATACAGCACAGGCTTCCTCCATGAGTCAGCATTGAGCCCAGCAAGCCGGCGTTTGCACTCCAGCTCAGCCACTGACAAGCCATGTGACCCTGAGCAATGGGCTATGGCTACTGCTGAGCCTTGATTCCTCACTTCTCCAGCAGGGATAAAAAATCTACCTTAGCCGGGTGCAGCGGCTCACGCCTGTAATCCCAGCACTTTGGGAGGCTGAGGCAGGCGGATTACCTGAGGTCAGGAGTTCACGACCAGCCTGGCCAACATGGTGAAACCCCATCTCTACCAAAAATACAAAAATTAGCCAGGTGCAGTGGTGCATGCCTGTAATCCTAATCCCAGCTACTCGGGAGGTTGAGGCAGGAGAATCGCTTGAACGCAGGAGACAGAGGTCACAGTGAGCCAAGATCGTGCCACTGCACTCCAGCCTGGACAACAGAGCAAAAACTCCGTCTCAAAAAGAAAAGAAAAAAAAATCTGCCTCAGAGTGTTATTTCAAGGATTAAAGACATAAAACAAATCAAGCATCAAACACATAGGAGGCAACTGGTAAATCTCAAATTCCCCTTTTCTGGCTTTTCATGACTTCTTCATCTTAAGTAGCTGCAGGACTTACTCAGGGACGCCCTCACTCCTGAGTATCTGAGGAAACTAACAATTCCTTGCTATTATGCAAACAATGCTGTGACAAATATCTTGGCACATGTCGTTTTTCAATATTTTGGATTTTAGGAGAGTGAGCCTGGATTTCCAGAACTGGAATTAACAAATCAAAGGTTCTGTAGGTCCTACTGCCAAACTGCCTTCCAAAAAGTTAGTAATTTATGCCACCACTGAAAATAATAGTGACAACAGTCATGGCAGCTAATATTTACTGAAAGTTTATGCCGGCCGGGCGCGGTGGCTCAAGCCTGTAATCCCAGCACTTTAGGAGGCCGAGACGGGTGGATCACGAGGTCAGGAGATCGAGACCATCCTGGCTAACACGGTGAAACCCCGTCTCTACTAAAAAAAAAAAAAAAACTAGCCGGGCGAGGTAGCGGGCACCTGTAGTCCCAGCTACTTGGGAGGCTGAGGCAGGAGAATGGCGTGAACCCGGGAGGCGGAGCTTGCAGTGAGCTGAGATCCGGCCACTGCACTCCAGCCTGGGCGACAGAGCGAGACTCTGTCTCAAAAAAAAAAAAAAAAAAAAAGAAAGTTTATGCCATGCGAGGCACTATTTTGGGCACGTCTGTCATCTTCTTTTATCAGCTAAACAACCAAGGAGGTAAGTACGGATATTCCTAGTACACACAGATGAAGAAACTGGATGCTAACTTTACCATACCACATTATTATAAAAAGAATTTCATGACTGAAATGGTGCATTATGGTGTTAAGTTGCAATTTTAAAATAATTTAAAAACTGGACCTTTTTCCTCTTCCCACTGACCTTTTCAGGTTGGCCCACTTAATTTATCTGAGGTATCTTCTACAATAAAAATACTTCTTGATCATGAGGTGCTATAAATTTCTCCTAGGTACTCTATTTTCTTTTTTTGAAAATAATTGGCAATTTTCAGACAAATACATGTTTCATAATTTTCTATAGTTAAAAACGTAATCCTTCTAATCTTAACATTTTCTATTATATGTTTTTACATAATTTCATCTAATAGAAATTTTAAAATAATTTCCTTTTGAATGTTTGATATGTATAATTTCTATATTCGTTCAGATTTTAAACTAAAAATTAATACATCTGAATTTTGCTTAGTATACATGCCAGGCAGGGAAGTTCAAATACCTAACATTTCGCAGGGGAATCAAGACTCACTGCAAAGCAAAGCGCCTGTAAAGTTCAGGAAAACCTAGAGGATTCCAGGATATATTATTTGTTTTGCTGAGTAACAGACAATGCAAAATAAAAGAATTTCCTAGAAAAGCCATAATGAAAAAATATCCACCCATTATTGCAAATTTGGAATTGGCTTAAACTACTTGCTTTTGTTTTGTTTTGAGATAGTTTTGCTCTGTCACCCAGACTTTGAGAGTTGTTCAAGCTGAAAAAAGCACCTTTTTGAAAACGAAATCTTGTTTTCATGTCATCCAAAGTGCTCAGACCTAGATCTTTCCATTTACAGTAAGGATTTGGAAACGTTTTTCCTGGAGGAAGTGTGCCGTGAATTTCACATGAAGGGCCTGGTTCCAGAGCCAATCAGCAGACAGCAGCTTTAGGAGCTCGGCCTCTCTGTCTCCTCTCTCTCCACCTCCATCTCGGTCAGGATCTGAGGGGAAACAGCCCTGAACAGCGACAGAGACCACTGCAAACTGATACTCTGAGACACCTAAAATAAAGTTTCTTTCAATTTAGCCAAAAAGTAAATGTCCCATAGCTCAGAAATGGAAGCTAAACAGCCACATATACCTGTGGTACCCCCGACAGGCCGAGGCCGGGCCACCGACGGCATCTCCTCCGAGTAGATCCCTCTGGCAGCAAATGGGGCTTCAGCGGACGCCTGTGGCTGCTGGGGGTCAGGGGGCACCAGCTCTGAAGACTGCAGCAAACCGGGGCCAAAACCTGGTCTGAAGGCAAAGCAAACCAGCACATCAGGACTCCACTGCACCCTGGCCTTGGTATTTCATGAGGTTCACCCCCAGCCTTACAGAAGGTAACCCTTATTTGTCTACCTGCTTAGCCATTTCCTCTTCTAGAAAGGGAAGAGATGTTTCTCCTGCTCCCCGAGGGAAGGGACTTTTCTATTTGTTCACTGCCCTTCCTCCGGCGCTAAGAACAGTGCCTGCAATACAGTTGATGCTGACAAGGCCAGGGCCTGCTCATCTCCAGCATCTGCCCAGTGCTGTGCTTCCTACCCCTGGCTGCACGTCGGCATCACCTGGGGGGCCTGAAAAAATCACGACGCTCACACTGCACCCCAGGCGAATTCAGAGGCACTAGGGGTGAGACCAACACGGCGGTAATTTTTAAAGCTACAGATGATCCTGCTGTCCGTCAAAGCTGAAAAGCAGTGTTCTAAAGCAGCGGATCGCAAACTTTTTTTTATCTCCAGACCTCTTTTGACTCATAAAAATTACTGAGGACTCCCAAGAGCTTTTGTTTATGTGGATTGTATCGATATTTACCAGATTAGAAATTAAAATGGAAAAAAATGTAAATACTTATTTAAAAAATTTATTTACAAGTAACAATTAAACTTATATATGAACATAATATTTTTTGTGAAATTAACTATTCATCAATCCTCCCTCAAAAAAAAGTAGTGAGAAGAGTAGCACTATACTGTTCAAATTTCCTTAATAGAAGGATTCTCATAGAGTTTGCATCCTGTCAGTTGCTCAATGTTAGGAAGAAAATCTGGCTTCACAGAATACATAGTTGCAAAAGCAAGGAGTATTTTAAGAGCCTTTTCAGATAATATTTTAAAAATATTGCAGGCATTCTTCTTGCTACCACACAAAAATTCAACAAGTGTTAGTTCCTCAGGGGTCAGTTGCAATATGGAATCTGAAATGATATTGGTGAACTTTTCATACTCTGTTACGCTAAAACCCACAGCTCCAACTTGCACTTTGAAAGGATCTCTAACCCATGCTTGATTTTATGACATCTGTCATTTGGAACATAGTTCACTGAGTTATGCAAACCTTCTCTATATTGTTACCTCTCATTTTGCAGTATCGAAAAATCTCTTTCATTAATCTCATCATCAAACTCATCCAGAAAAGTCTTGAGGTGCTAGGAAGTTGTCAAGTTCACAGTGGCAGGCAGACAAGTTCCCAAAATTCAAATTTTCACTTGAAAGCTCATTTTATCATTAGCAACAAATACTGGCAGTTGTTTTTCTTAAAGTGACAGGCTCACTTCATTCATTTTTAAGACAGTGTCTGCCAAACACCCGAGTCTGAATAACCACGTCTGCCAGCTGTTTGTTCAAGTAAAAAGCACAAAAGCAGTTGGTTCAGTTCAGTCTCCACTCAAACAATGGGAGCAAGGGCTTCCCTTCAAAATTCCATATTCCACAGAAATGCTTTCTATGTATCTCCCCTTTTGTCACACAGACTACTAAAGACTTAAGGGTCTAGGTTTAATAAGGGTCTAGGTTTATGATTTTGACTACCTCACCAAGGACATGCTAACATAAATTTTTAATTAATAAATCACATTTTTAAAACTGTGATTACAGAGCAGTGAAGAATATGATGACTACTCATACAATTTGGTGGTACTGCCTGGATCCATGCTAAAGACTAGCAGTATTGGCCGGGCGTAGGGGCTCATGCCTGTAATCCCAGCACTTTGGGAGGCCAAGATGGACAGATCACCTGAGGTCAGGAGGTCAAGACCAGCCTGGCCAACATAGTGAAACCCCATCTCTACTAAAAATACAAAAATTAGCCTGGCATGGTGGTGCGTCACAAGTAATCCAGATACTCAGGAGGCTGAGGCATGAGAATCACTTGAACCTGGGAGGTGGAGGTTGCAGTAAGCCGAGATTGTGCCAATGCATTATAGCCTGGGTGACGGAGCAAGACTCTGTCTCCAAAAAAAAAAAAAAAAAAAGAAGAAGAAGAAGATGATTAGCAGTTTCACCTACCATTGCTTTTGCACTTCTGTACAAATGTCAATACAATGGAAAAAAGGAAAATAACATCTTAGTAATATTATGAAAGTTGTTTTGATCTCACAGACCTCCCCCCTACAACGAAAGGGTCTCAAGCACTCTCCAGGAGTCTGAGAACCTCACCTTGAGAAACACTCTTCTGAAGAAATTCAAGAAAAAAAAGATAATAGTCTGCTATAGTTCTTTGCAAACGACACCGAACCTGTAATTCACAGATGTAACCAGTTTGGTGAGAATGTAGGTTGACCTGCACTTATTCTCCAGTGTTGTTTCTAGAGTATATCTCATAAACTGAAACCCAGGCTACCTAGGTTACTCTCTGTAAATAACTGTTGTTGTTTTAGATCGGCCTCAGAGAGGGACGTGTGATATCCCTGACTTTATAGATCTAAGAGGTTTCCATGAGGCATGCTCCTCTTTCAAGACCTGTAAACTGGAGCCCACACCTCACCGAACCACAATCTCTAGACCATCCACCCATGAACTAGCTCTTGTCATTCACTTAATTCTCCCTACTTTCCCCCACCTCTCGACAACATTTCCATCCCTTTATTCTTAACATGGTTTGCAATCCAACACTCTAAAATCCTTTAAAGTGGGTGTTTATATAATTTCTCATCCACACCACAACACTTTTGAGGGTGAAAGCTATTAAAAATGGGACTAACCTGGGTAACTGGACAGGTCATGGTCCCCCATCTCTAACTTCTGCCCTGCATCACCTGAGCTTACCTTGCCAGTTTTACCTTTGCTGCTTTTGGACCACAGAGCTGTGTGGTAGGGGAGGAAGGCTGGAGAAAAGCAAAGCAAACCCCTCTGAAAATGATGATGGTTTAAAAAAAAGAAAAAAACAGAAAAAGTAAGTAGGAAACAGAAAACATTCCTACTTCAGTGTGACTTCTGGTCACTGAAGGGATGGTTGGCTTTGGTTTCTGAGATTCAGTCTGTTTTACTGCAATGACAGCTTTGTAATAAACCAATGTCCACACACACAGCTGGTCGACTGGTCTGTTTCTCTAGACTCACAGCAATGCTGCACCATCTCAATCACTTGACAGCAATGTACAATATTTAGAATGGTCCTAACACCTCCTTCTTCTTTCTCAAAGTGTCTGGGCTATTCTTGGCCCTTTGCATTTCCAGATAAATTTTAGAATCCATCTGTCAGTTTCCACATATTAAAAAGAAATTACTGGGATTGTGAATGGGATTGCACTGAATCTACAAATCACATGGGGAGAAATGACATTTTTAAAATATTGAGTTGTCCAATCTGTGAACATCTTTCTTTAGAGGTCTTAAAAGTCTTTGGTTAGATTTATTCTGAGGTGTTTTATATTTCTAAGTGTTATTTTAAATGATATCTTTGAAAATTCTTTCTTTCCTGTTTGTTGCTTACATGCAGAAATAAAACAGATTTTCGTATACTGATTTTATATCCAGTTATTTTGAAATTTAGTTGGCTTGCTATTTAGCAATTTTGCTAAATTCCCTAAATTCTAACAGTTTGTGTGTTGACATTTTAGGATATGCTACTACAGAATTATATCATCTGTGAATAATAACAGTATTACTCCTTTCTTTGAATTCTTTACTCTTTTTGTGTTTTTCTTGCCTTGTTACAGCGCAATTTTGAATAGAAGTCATGTGAGCAGATATCTCTGTCTTGTTCCCACTCTCAGAGGGCAGACTTTTTTTTAACATTTCACCATTCAGTAATATTTGCCAAGATACCTTTTATCAGAATCGAGAAGTTCGCTTCTACTCTTTGTTTGCTAAGACTTTTACCATGACAGGATGTTGAATTTTACCACCTGCTGTATCTATTGAAATGACAAGATTTCCCTCCTTTATTCTCCTTAAAGTGGTAGCTTACACTGCTCGGTTTTTAAATGCTAAATCATCCTTACACTGCTGGAAAGAAATCCAATGTGGTTGTAATATGAGATGCTTTTGTGTCTACTGCTGGTTATGCTCACTGATATTTAGTTTCTATTTTTTAATATCTATGTTCATGAGAAACGGGCCCTCAATTTCTTTTCCTGCAGTGTCCCTGTCCTTCTTGCCCTTGTCCCTGGTGTCAAGGTGATGTTGGCTTCATAAAATGAACTGAGAAGTGTTCTTTTTCTGTTTTTTAGAAGAGTTTGTTTAATACTGATACCTTTCCCTCCTTCAGTGTTTGGTAGAACTCACTGCTGAAGCCCCTGGGCCTGGAGCTTTGTTTGTGGGAAGAACTGTAATTATGATTTCCACTTTAAACATAGTTATATGACTATTCAAGTTTTCTCTTTCTAGGAATTTTTCTATTCCAGAAAAAAAATTTTTTTTGAGACAGGGTCTCACTGTGTTGCCCGGGGTAGTTTCAAATGCCTGAGCTTAAGCAATCCTTCCATCTCAGCCTCCAGAGTAGCTGGGATTACAACCACGCACCACTGCATCCAGCCCCAAATTTATTAACAAAAACGGGTTCATAAAATCTCCTTGTTAATGTAAGATCTGGATTAATGCGCCCTTTTCATTCTTCTTATTGATAATTTGTTGCACAGATTATTTGATCAAGCTTGTGAGAGTCTATCAATTTTATTAGTTTTCAAAGAACTAACTTTTGGTTTTACTCATCCTCTCTTAATGTGGTATTTATTTTCTATTACATTAATTGATATTATTATTTTTAGTATTTCCTTCTGTCTACTTCCTTCACACTTAATTGGATCATCTTTTTTTACATCTTGAGGTCGATGCTTAGATCCACTGATTTTTCAGCCACTTTTCTTTCCAATATACGCATTTAAGGCAACACATTTCCCCCTGAACACTGCTATAGCTGCACCTCACAACATCTGACCTATTATATTTTCATTATTATTCATTTTAGGGTGTTTTGATTTCCATTTTGATTTCTTCAGTGTACTGCAGGTTACTTACAAGAGTACTAATTAATTTGCCATCAAAGATTTGCTTTTTTTTTTTAACTTTTATTTTAGGTTCAGGAGTACATGTACAGGTTTGTTATATAGGGAAACTCAAGTCACAGGGGTTTATTGTACAGATTATTTCATCACCTAGGTACTAAGCCTAGTACCCAATAGTTATTTTTCCTGATCCTCTCCCTCTACCCTCAAGTGGGCCCCAATGTCTGTTGTTCCTCTCTTTGTGTCCATGAGTTCTCATCATTTAGCTCCCACTTATAAGTGAGAACATGCAGTATTCGGTTTTCTGTTCCTGCATTAGTTTGCTAAGGATAACGGCCTCTGGCTGCATCTATGTTCCTGCAAAAGACATGATTTTGCTCTTTTTATGGCTGCATAGTATTCCATTGTGTATGCATACCACTTTTTTTTTTTATCTGATCTGTCACTGATGGGCATTTAGGTTGATTCCATGTCTCTGCTTTAGAGAATAGTGCTTCAATGAGCATTTGCATGCATGTTTCTTCACAGCCGAACAATTTATATTCCTTTGTATATATACCCGTTAATGGAATTGCTGAGTCAAATGGTAGTTCTGTTTTTTTAACATCAATTAAATTCTATTTATTTAAATATACTAAGCAAAACACATTTTATGAAGCATTTTTTTTCTGTGACAATTTGGTCTGTGCTGGATCCACTCTGTGCTGCTGTTTTCTGACGCCAGTTGGTAGTTCTGTTTTTCTGCCTTTGAGGAATCGCCACACTGCCTTCCACAATGGAATTAATTTACACTCTCACCAACAGTATATAAGCATTCCCTTTGCTCCACAACCTCACCAGCATCTGTTATTTTTGACCTTTTAATAATGGCCATTCTGACTGGTATGAGATGGTATATCTCATTGTAATTTTGATTTGCACTTCTCTAACAATCAGTGATACTGAGCTTTTTTTCATATGCTCATTGGCCGCATGTATGTCTCCTTTTGAAAAGCGTCTGTTTGTGTCCTTCGCCCACTTTTTAATGGGGTTGTTTGTTCTTTTTCTTGTTAAGTTCCTTACAGATGCTGGATATTAGACCTTGGTCAGATGTATAATTTGCAAATATTTTCTCCTATTCTATAGGACAGACAGCCTACAGAATGGGAGAAAATATTTGCAAACTAGAGCTTCTGCACAGCAGAAGCTCTTAAGTTTAATTAGATCCCATATGTCAATTTTTGCTTCTGTTGTGATTGCTTTTGGCGTCTTCATCATGAAATCTTTGCTCATTCCTATGTCCAGAATGCTATTGCCTAGGATGTCTTCCAAGGTTTTTATAGTTTTGGGTTTTATCTTTTATTATTGGTTTCTAACTTAGTTCTACCAGGATTAGCAAATATACCCTGAGCGATTTCACTTCTTGAAATTTGTTAAGATTTGTTATGGTCCAGCATATGGTAAATTTTTAAAATGTGTTTTAAAGGAAGATGTATTTTACAGTTGAGTCCAGGGTTCTATTTATGTCAATTAGGTCAAATTGATTAATCACGTTGTTCCAATCTTCTATATCCTTTCTGTATCTTTATATTTTTTGATGTGTCGCTCACAAGCCAAATATATTTTTAAATCAAATCTAATAACCTTTGTCTTTTAAATTGAAATATCTAGTTGTTAACACTTAATGTAATTAATTCTAGATCTGAATTTAGATATCTACTATCTTATCTTTCTGCATGTCCTGCAAATTCTAAGTTCTTTTCTCTCCTATTTCCTACCTTCTTTTGTATTATTTTATTCTTCCTTACTATTTTATATTTAAGCATTCTCCTAGTGAGCCTAGAACTACACTAGAATCCTTCACTTATAACAGTCTAACATAAAGTAGCCCTTTTACATCTTCCTGAACAATGGACCTTAGTTCCATATTAACCATAAGTGTAATTATTTTAGAATCTGTGTCTGATAACTCCATTATCTGTAGTTCTGCTTCTATTGTCTATTTCTTTCCTTTTTAAAAAAATTATATTTTTTTTTCTTATATGCCTGGGGGTGGGTGTGGGGGTGTGTGGAAGGGGGGCTACTGTAGCAATAATGTAAGGCCTAGAGTGATGTAATCTTCTTCTAAAAGGGATGTTCACTTGTTTCTGCCAGGGAGCAACCCCAATCAACTTTCAAAGCTGACCTTCACTTCCTGCAGGGACTGATCTGCTTATGATTCACCCTTACTCCTACAGCTAACCCCTAAGGGTCCAAACTCAAAACCTTCGGGTGTTTACCAGGGTCTCCCCTTGTGCTTCCAACCCCATGAGTCTGACAAAGGCTCTGCCTGGCTTCCCAGGTGCTTCTTCTGGAATCCACAGATGTCCCTGGGGAAAAATTGGCCCAAGAAGCAGGGCTCATGCCTCTGAATTTCCTGGATCTTGGTCCCATACCGCTTCACTGCTCTGTTAGCTCTCTGGGGTTTTTAATGTTAATATCTTGTTCAGCTTTTCCAGTCATCTTCAGCAGGAGAGTTGGTCCAAATTATCTAGCCTGTCATTACTGGAACAGAACTTAAATTCCAACTTTTTTCCCCTCCTCTTCTAGTTAGATCAAGAGAATATACAACTCAGAGTTTTACATCTGCTTATATTAGCTAAAATTAGTGAGTTTATAAAGTTTTTAAAAACAGCCTATGTGAGAAAGTGATAATACATTTTGTTTTGAAAACCTTACCTTGGCAATGGACCTGTTGGGGGAGTCATTCCATAATCTTCATATCTCTGGAAGACATACAAAAGAAATTGAAGATTAATACTTAATACTTATTATAAAGTGACAACAGCAAACTTATAAATTCAGCTTTACAGGATCCACTTTCAAGAGAATTATTTTCTCATTAAAACTTAGCATGTTACGGGCACTCAAGTTTCGGTTCGAGGACCTGCACTATCAGACTTTAGAAAACACATAACTCATTTCTAGATCTTTCCTTCTTTTGTATATTACAACTACAAATATGAATAGCTAACAGGCTTTCTGTGCCTGCTCTTCCCTACAGATCCATCTGTATCTTCTGCTGCAAACTTGTATCTTCTGCTAAAGGGCCTCATATCTTTTGCTAAAAGGCAGGCCTGAGTGCCCATAATTAGCGCAGTGACTCCAATCACATGGGCCACAAAGGTCAGCGAGACCCAGTGGTGCCCAGTACCTAGTCAAATACCTCAAGCAACTCAAGTATCAAATCCTGCCTCATGTTGTAGAATGCTGCAAAAAAAGAAAACCAGAAACGAGAGAGACTCTACAAGACCAAGGCAGCACCTTCTGTTTCTGACCATTTACTGGTCCCCAGGAGACCCAGCTATACCTTCTGCCCTTAAGTTCCATCACGTGCCCCCGTACCCTTCAATCAACTCTTTTTACTTGAGCTAATCTGAACTAGCCAAGTGTTCTTTGACTAAAACAATATGCCACACGATTTAAAGAAATATACATCTAAGAAATCTGTTGTATTCCTGGTGAAATCAATATATCCTAACCCTAATATACGTGGGACTCTTATTTCAACATTTCTTTTCAATAACTGTGAATTGTTCTTTTTGGAAGTAGATATTTCAGAAGAACAGTAACTATGGGCAGAGTCTGTCCAGCTGCAGTCAGTTGGAACCAATGCTTTGTCTAAGTTAGGTCTAAGTCAGCCTTGCTTCTGAAGTTGCTCCAACATGACATCTTTCTTTTTACAAGCTGTCATTTACTGAATTAGTGTTTTGAGTTAAGCATTGTATGAGCATTAACCCAAGCCCACAACATCACTAAAAAGTACTCACTGCCTCTATTTTATGAATGAAACCAACTCACAAAGAAATTAGGTGATTTCCTCCTATGTCTTTTGAACTCCAAAGACCATGCTTCTCACCAACCACCCCGCACCGCCCATGGTTTCCAAAACCAGACACTCTCCTGTGAACAAATATCTATTTTGTGAGGGAAAAAGTAGAGGTTTTGGAGTCAGACAGACTGGCTTAACATTCCTGGGCCTATTCCTTTATGCCAAGAGAATATAATGATCTCCACATTCATAGAGTTCTAAGGGGATTGTTAAATATGAAACTGTGGTCAGATTACTTCAACTTCTGACTCTCTCTGCTTCCATCCCCTTGGCTGTCATGTGGAACCTTGTGGAGTTCCCCAACTGAGGCAAAACAAGGGAAAGGGAGTTATGGACGAAGGGAGGAAGAGAAGGAAAAGAAGCTTCCATTCATTTTCCAAAAAATTACAGGGAAATCTGAGACTACATAGAGATTATTCACAGTGCTGGTGCTTTCGGCAGAGTGTGGGTTTTTAAAGCACATTCATATGCAAAATCTTAAAAAAAGTCAGTGCTTACCAGTTTACCTACCAAAGTCTCAGGAGGTTTTAGTGGCATATTAAGAGAAAAACAATGAAAAATAGCTGTCCACTTATTATCTTTTGTATCTCTGTAGTGTGAGGATTTCAACTCTATCCTCATCAGAAAAAGAATGTCATATTTCTAAGGACTGCATGCCCTGATGAAAAGTTTTTAAAAAAAAAAAAAAAAAATCACAGAATTTCTCTGATTCTGTTGCAGGATGGATCACACCTATATAAAAGTGGGGCACAAAATTGCATTTGAAGGTTTCAATCGGCTATGTATATAAAAATCCCACTTTAATGCATCCCTTTTTTCTATTCAGTATAAAACACAGGCCAACAGAGTGAGAAACGTAAGTGAGATGGTTGGTAGAGTTTGGGATAGGCCTGAGGTAAAGCAACCAGACAGCGAGGCCTGCTTGTAAAGTGTCTCAGCCCAGGGATTTGTACTGGCTACTCACAGGACTAGTCCAGAGACAGCTTACCTTCTCAAGGAAGCAGCGACACCAACTATCAACCGGCCTGACTCACTGATGCATAACTAACACCCTTATCCTCACAAAAAAGGAGCAATATCATCAGATGGCAAATAAAGGCTCATGCAGTAACTGAAGGCACCTTGAAATCCACATTCCTGTGGTTTTTTTTTTTTTAACCAAAAAAAAGCAAATAGCAGCAAATAGAGAGTGATTAGGCTCCCCTTGGCAACACTAACTTTATGATCCATTTATAAACACGTTGAAATTCTATTAGATATGCACGGATAAAGCCAATGATCCTGATTTTCTACTAGATTAAACTGCTAGCATTCTCATCCAACTACATCAGGGTAACATCGAAAATCCACAATAAGAAAACCACTGAATAATGGTGTTTATTTAAAAATCTTACTGTAGGCTTGAATTTATAAGGCATTATCAGGGAATCTTGAATCTGCAACACCTATGAACAATGAACAAATAAGAGAAATAACAACACAAATCTGCCAAACTACACCACTGGCTTCTGTGGGTTTCCAGTTTGCAGAAAGCAGATCATGGGATTCTCAGTCTCCATAATTACATGAGCTGACACCTCATAATAAGTAAATTTCTCTCTCTCCCCCTCACTCTCTCCATACAAACACATATGCACACACACACACACACACACAAACACTACTAGCTCTGTTTCTCTGGAGAACTCTATTTTAAATAATAGACCCTACATGTGAATGGATAAAGAAATGTGGTATATTTGTAAATGGAGTACTATTATGTGCTGCTGTTTTCTTTGGGTCTATTATAAATAAATCTGCCATGATGTACAAGTCTTTGTATGAAAATATGTTTTTGTTTGTCCTGGATAAATACTTAGGAAGAGAATGCTGGTTCATATGGTAGGATATATGTTTAACTTTTTAAAGAGACTGCCAAACTGTTTTTCAAAGTGGTTGTGCTATTTTACATTCCCACCAGCAGTTCATGAGACTTCTAGTTGTTTACATTCTCAGCAACATAATTGTAGATTTATTTCTACATGCAGTTTCATCAGTTTTTGCTTAATGTGTTTTACAGCTCTAATACTAAACACATAAACATGTAAGACTTTGTGTCTTCCAGATAAACTGACCACTTTATTATGAAATGATCCTCTTAATCTTTAATAATATTCTTTACTATGAGCCCTATTTTGGCTAATATTAACATAGCCATTCCAGCTTTCTATGATTAGTGTTAGTATGGCATATCTTTCTCCAAACTTTTCTCCATACTTTTCCTTTTTACCTATTGGTATCTTTGTATTTAACGAAGGTTTCTTGTAGGCAGCATATACTTGGATCTTGCTTTTTATCCAAACTGACAAGCTCTGCCCTTTAATAGGGGTGTTTAGGCCATTCACATTTAATGTGATTATTGATGGGCTGGATTTAAATCAACCATCTTGATATCTGTTTTTAATTTTCCCCATCTGTGCTTTATCACTTTTCACTTCCTTTTCTGCCTTTTTTTTTTTTTTTTTTTTTTGAGACAGAGTCTCGCTCTTTCGCCCAGGCTGGAGTGCAGTGGCATGATTCTTGTGCCTGGGATTACAGGCACATGCCACCACAACCAGCTAATTTTTGTATTTTTAGTAGAGACAGGATTTCACCATGTTGGGCCAGGATGGTCTCGATCTCCTGACCTCAGGTGATCCGCCCACCTCAGTCTCCCAAAGTGCTAGGATTACAGGTGTGAGCCACCATGCCTGGACCCTTTTCTGCCTTCTTTTGTGCTGTTTTTTATGATTTCATTTTGATTCCTTTGTTGGCTTATTAGCTAATAATAGCTTGCTTTATGGTTTATATTACGCATTTTTCACTTATTACAGTCTACCATTAAGCACTATCATTCTACTTCATGTATAGTATAAGAACATTAAAATAGAAAACTTCAATTTCTCCTTTCTTGGCATTTTGTGCTGCTGTTCTCATATATTTTACTTCTATATATGTTATAACTCCCCACAATATACACTTATTACTTTCATTTTAAATAGTCAATTATCTTTTTTAAAGTTTTAAATAATGAAGAGAGGATTTTAAAAAATAATTTCCCACATACATATTTACATTTCCAGTGTTTTTCATATATGTATGTAGATCCAGGTCTTCATATGGTATCATTGTACTTCTGCCTTAAAGACTTCCTGTAACATTTCTTATAATGCAGGTCAGCTGGTGATGAATTATTTCAGCTTTTATATGTCTGAAAACATTTTTATTTCACCTTAGTTTTTGAAAGATGTTTTTGCTAGATATAGATTCTAGGTTGGTCATTTGGTCCTTTCAGTTCTTTGAAGATTTGTTCCACTACCTTCTGGGCAATGAGATTTCTTCTGCCATCCTTATCTTTGTTCCACTGTATATAATGTGTTCTTGTTCTCTGGCTACTTTTAAGATCTTTTTCACTTGTTTTAAGCAATTTAGACTACGGCATTTTTGGAATAGTTTTCTTCATATTTCTTGCACATAGAGTTCACCAACCAATGGATCTGTGGATCTGCAGTTTCCACCAAACTTGGAAAAATGCTGGCCACTCTATCTTTTTAAAAACAATTCTATTGGGTATGTTTGAGGTTTACAACATTTTACTGGCTACATACAGGTATTAAAATGGTTCCTTACAGTGAAGTAAATTAACATATTTATCATCTCACATACTTTTTTGTGACAAAAGTAGCTAAAATTACTTATTTAACAAAATCCCCAATATAATAAAATTTTATTAACTATTGTCCTCATTTGGTACTTTAGATCCCTAGACTTGTTCATCCTATACATCCCCTGCTTTGTATCCTTTGATCTCCATCTCCCAATTTCCTTTCCCCCATCTGTGGTATTTTTTTTTTTTTTTTTAAGATTCCACATGAA